AATATCTTCATGGAACATGATCTTTACTTAATATCCTAATGATTTTTGGCATAAAAGAGAAATGTATAATTTTGACCCATACAATGTATTGTTGGCTATTGCTACAAATATACCCCAGCGACTTAACACTGCTTTTGTGCTGCAGGCTCACATATTAAAATAAAATAAAATAAAATAAAGTTTGTGCTGGGCAACGATAAATCACAATTAATCGCATCCAAATTAAACGTTTTTGTGTACATAATATATGTTTGTGTATTGTGTATATTAAGTATATATAAAGACACACACATACAGTATATATAAGCTTGCAGTTATATTATGGGTTGTTGGCATGAGTTGTGCTCATGATAGAGCGAGTAAAAAACCATGACGCTCCAGTTTTTTAAAAATCCGGAAGGAAGTGGGCGTTACCGGGTTATCGGCTTGATTGATGCCCAGGATGAAGACGAGGTGCGCGATGAAGAGCGCGGCCGCACCGTTGTTGACGATGCTGGTCTTGTTGCTGCTCGCCTCCCGCAGGCAGGTGAGGAAGACGATGGTGAGGAAGAGGAAGCCCAGCATCACGCCCACTGAACTCCATGTGATCAGCTTCACCGGCAGGATCTCTCCGTTCTGAAGCAGAAACACGCGTTTATTCAGACTTATCAGACCGGATAGTTCCGGTGCTTGATTCTGATTGGCTGAGCTGCGTTCGAAGCTGTTGTAAATTACTCTACAAACACACACCTCTTTGTTTCTGTGTGTTGCTCGGCAACCACTTTGTAGCAACCACAACTGTTTCTGAGGAGCTACATTGTTTGGTGGAAGAATACTGTTTTTATTAATATCATTACACTTTATTTGGTGAAACCTTGCTACGTATATGGAATAACCGTTTTATAAAAGCAATAATCCCCAAGAAGCCGTGGTTTACAGTGAATTTATAACAGCTAAGGGAGTTTTAACACCCTGCCCCCTGGCTCTTATAAATTCACTGTAAACCATGGCTTCTTGAGGCTTATTGCTTTATTTAAGCACAAAGTATACTTTGGTTTATACGTGGTTCTTCACCACCAAATAAAGTTTTCACATGAACACAAACTCTGTGATCTGACTCAAAGGATACAAGAAGTCTAGACCAGGAAGTACCTGAAATGTAAACAGGAAGTAGCTGATACCTGACTCGACAGAAGAGATGAAACTCATTTTCAGAGGAAGAACTAGTCACCGGATTTGACAAGGTTAGTTCTGATTAGGGGTGTTTACGTTACCGAACATTTTCAGTACGGGTCTTTCGGTTCGGTACGCATGTGCATATCGAACAAATACAGCATTGTTTTAACCACTGCATGAGTGAAACTTCATTGGAAACTTTCAGTTTTATACTACATTGTTACTTTTGATAAACAAAGTCTCATCTTTCAAATTAAATCCATTTAATCAGGAAATTCAAATAATAATCGCTGTATAAACGCCTCAGTTCAAACAGCAGCGCGATCACCCCTTCCTCTTTCCTACTAGTTTTAACGTGAAATAAACATGAATGAACATCCGACGCCTCACGTAATCGCTCAATCAGTGTTTCAACCGCGGAAAGACGTCATTAAAACAGCATGTAAACAACGTCACGTAGCATTTCATTTACCTCAGGCAAGTCATCTGTGTCTACAGCTCGTTATTTGCTCGAGAAATTAAGTCTAGAGAAGTGCATTTCACGAAATATTAGACTAAATACTCATTACATTTTACTTAACCTGTTAGTGATGTCTTAATTATTTAGTGTATGTTTAAATAAATCTGTTATGAAACAAGTCACTGCGTAAATCAATATATTTCAACAACAAATAGAAATGTTAGAATTTAATTAATTTAAAAACTGCATTATGTGCAATTTACATGTTTGCATACAATTTTTTAAGTCAAGTGTTGATTATCATGTTTAAAAATAAATAGTAATTAAAAGTAAGTTTGGGCTGTGTTGTTAATTGTAAACTTATAGTAATATAAAAGGGCTCCCTATAGTTTAGAGCATAAGCTGAGGTAGATTTTTACCCATAAGAAAATTTGAATTATAATTGAATTATTTAAAGAAAGAGCAATGTGTTTAGTAAACCACTGTTTAATAAAAAATAAATACATTTAAAAAAAAAACATTTGTTTAGTATTTTTTTCCTCCTGCTGTACCGAAACCATACCGTGACGTCAAAGCCGAGGTACGTACCGAACCGTCATTTTTGTGTACTGTTACACCCCTAGCTCTGAGTGATCGATGGGCGGTAGGATTTTCTGGGTGGTTGCTAGGGCATTGCTATGTGGTAAAAAATCACTAGAGCATTTTCAGTGGTTGCTAGGTAGTTGGTGGGATGTTGCTAGGATGTATAAAGTATTCTGCCCCAAGAGACCAACCCTATGCAACTAACTTCTGATCAGGTTAGTGTTGGGTTAGGTCGAGTCGAGTCACCTCTCGGCGTGAGATGTCCATGAGCACGGCGAAGCTGGTCATGTGGTAACACTGGCAGCTGATGTGTGTGCTGTTCCTGAAGACCACCTCACAACCCTTAGAAGACCAGCCGCCCGGACCGCCAGCGCTGCACACACAACACAACACAAGCTCACTCACAAACACCTCCTCATATCTACACTACACACACGTACGAGTGTGTACTCACACTATGGAGTGGTTCCAGAACACACAGATGGGTTTAGAGCGCTCCTCAGTGGCCACCAGACGGAACTGCACTGTGATGGGTTTATCCAGCGTGTGCTGCAGCAGCTCCTCGTTATCATGAACCGTTATACTGACCACAGGGGTGTTGATGACCGGACGCTTGGGAACCCTGAACACACACACAGCGTTAGATCAATCAGTGAGTCTGTAAATGTCTGGTCTGGTCTGGTGTGGCCTAGTCTGGTCTGGTCTAGTCTAGTCTGGTCTAGCCTGGTCTGGTATAGTCTGTTCTAGTCTAGTCTGGTCTAGCCTAGTCTGGTCTGGCTAGTCTAGTCAAGTCTGGTCTAGCCTATTCTAGTCTAGCCTAGTCTGATCTAGTTTGGTCTGGTCTGGTCTAGCCTGGTCTAGTCTAGTCTGGTGTAGCCTAATCTGGTCTGGTCTAGCCTAGTCTAGTCTGGTCTAGTTTAGTCTGGTCTAGCCTAGTCTTGTCTAGCCTCGTCTGGTCTAGTCTAGTCTGGCTTAGTTTGGTCTGGTCTGGTCTATTTTGGTCTAGTCTAGTCTGGTCTAGTTTGGTCTGGTCTAGTCTAGTCTGGTTTGGTCTAGCCTAATCTGGTCTAGTTTGGTCTGGTCTAGTCTAGTTTGGTCTGGTCTAGTTTGGTCTAGTCTAGTCTGGTCTAGTCTAGTCTGATCTGGTCTAGTTTAGTCTGGTCTAGTTTGGTCTGGTCTAGCCTGGTCTAGTCTAGTCTGATCTGGTCTAGTCTAGTTTGGTCTGGTCTAGTCTGGTCTGGTCTAGTCTAGTTTGGTCTGGTCTAGTCTGGTCTAGTTTGGTCTGGTCTAGTTTGGTCTAGTCTAGTCTGGTCTAGTTTGGTCTGGTCTAGTTTGGTCTGGTCTAGTTTGGTCTGGTCTGGTCTGGTATAGTTTGGTCTAGTCTGGTCTGGTCTAGTCTAGTCTGATCTGGTCTCACCTGAGGCTCCTCTTGTCGGTGTCGTATCGCTCCGGCAGCAGCGCCGCTAGGCTGTGGAAGATGATGACGCTGGCGATGGCGTCCTGCTCGCGCTCGTCCGGGTGACGTTTCTTCCGATTCGCTGTGTGGTTTCTGCCGGACTCTGCGATTTGCTCGCTATTGTGCCGCTGACCTTTGCCCTCAGGGGCAGGGATGAAGACCGAGTCGGGAAGAGTGACGGCCGTCTCCAGGTCGAGTGGGCGTGGCCCGCGCAAAGACTCGTAACGTGGCAGTTTAGCGCCGGCGAAATTCATCTTCTCCAAACGATCGATGGAGATGACTGGAATAATACAGATTTACACAAAATAAAACAACTAACAGAAATTAAGCAACAAACTAAATGCAATTAAACAATTAAAATTATACTTCTTTGTAGCTAACTTCAGTAGTTTATAGATTAGATAGATATATATATATATATATATATATATATATATATAGATAGATATCATATTGTTTAGTGTAGACAATATACTACAAATACTACAAAAAAATTTTTAACTCAAAGATCTTTGATTAATAAAAACTAACATAAAATAAATAAAAATAAAACATAATATAAACAACTTACATTTAAATGAATTGAAATAAAATATTATATAATTTAACATTTTTTTCCAGCAGATTTTGCCAATCTTTGCTGGATTTACAGAACTACATAAATAATAAAAAAATAAAAAGATTACAAAACTAACTAGTATTTAAATTATATTTTAAATAAAAAATGTAATAAAAAGATTATATATTTTAACATTTTCCAACAGATTTTTTTTTTTTACCATCTAAAACTCAAAGGTCTTGCTGATTTACTTTACTAAATAATTAAATAATGAGCTCCTCATTAAATTATAATTTTACTATTTTCAACAATTTTCCAGCATATTTTGCCAATCTTAAACTCAAAGTTTTTACTGGATTAACTTTCTTTATAACTGGATTTAATTAACAGTTTTTTTAGTTAACTGAGCTCACAAAAAGCAATAGAATTAATATAAATCATTATTAATATCATTAATAATGACTATTATTATAATTAATTTCAATTATAGATTATAATAATAAATGATAATACACTTTGAAAAGAGAAAAATAAGACCATAAACCAAAAACTAAACTGAAATGTAAATGTGTGTGTGTGTGCGGGGGGGGGTTATCACACATAAAATGTCCCTACTACTTTGACAGATTTCAATGAAATGTTGTGATGTGATAAATCACATGCGTCGCTATCACTGACTAAAGAGGTTGTGGGCGTGGCCTGCAGATATTTGGCCAATCAGAAACACTCTTAGCATGTCAGTCATTTTTGTACGGATGGAGGGTTTGTGCATGTAAATCAGTGAAGGAATTAAACAACAGACCGACGTTGGGCGTGACGATGGTGAAGGGGCTCAGGTAGGTCTTCCTCATGTTTTGCGCGAGCGTGTTCGTATACTCCTCGAACTGTCGCAGCAGTGTGGCCGTGCCTCCCTCCGTCTGCTGGATGAGCTCCCAGTGTCCGCGTGTTTCCGCCGACAGTATAGCGCTGCCCACGTGCATCAGGTGCTGCCACAGCGACCAATCACAAAGTAAAAAGTTCGGAACTACTTTTAGTACGTAACTACTTAAAAATCGTTACTTTTACAATGCAAAATAGTATTCCTAATAAAAATAATAAAATTAATATGTTTATTTCGTTCTAAATATAGTTCAAGTCTATTAACATATTTACTGACATATCGCTGGAGACTTACCGATAAAAAAAATTCTAATTAAACTTTATTTGAAGTACTACTTTATTATTAATATTAAGTCTAAAATGTGGTTTCATGTCACTATTAACGATGATCTTAAAATAATATCGGTCTTTAAATGCAAGATATTAAAAAGTGTACCTGAAGAATACTTGCAATAGTTCCACTTTAGCACAATCAAATATACTTAAGTGTATCTTTAGTTGTACTTCAGCTCTACTTCTGCATAATTAAAGTGCATCAAGTACAAAATTAGTTGTTCAAATTTAGAAGGCTTTAAGTATAACAGTTTAGGGTATATTACGTGTATATTTTTATTAAGCATATAAATATGTAAATGTATTTGTTTGGCATGAAACAAAAGTGTTTCAAATAGATTTTAGTATATTTATTTTTCACTAGGGTTAATTTGTGCATTATTTAAATGAGGTAACAAACAAATTTATAAATAACACACTTAATAATGCGTTGAACAATTTAGAAATAATGCATTATAATGGACTTTTTATTGCTACATATGAGAGAAAAATTTTGACAAAGCTTAAACATGTTTAGTTAGTCGCATTACTACTTTTAGTTTGTAACTGTTCGTAATTTGTTACTTTTAAAATGTGAACTAGTATTCCTAATAAAAACAACCAATGACGCATAATGCGTTATTTTTTGAGTTACGAAATATAAGAAATACTGAAATTTCTTGATTTTCAAGTGGATTATTTAATCCACTTACATTATCCACCATTAAACACAGTTTTAACACTAATATCTGTAACTGTTCGTAATTTGTTACTTTTAAAATGTGAACTATGAACTAGTATTCCCAATAAAAACAACCAATGACGCATAATGCGTTATTTTTTGCGTTATTTAAATTATGAGGTAACTGAAATATGCATGGTTTCTTTTACACACACACAAAAAATAAATTGCGCAACGTGTTTATCGTAGCATGTTAGCGCTGCAGCTATGCGCGTGTACCTCGTTAAACAAGACGTCTTGCGTGGCGGTGAGGTTGAAGCCCTGCTGGCTGCTTTCGTGCTGCAGTATGGCGCGCGTCAGGTGATACGCGATCTTCACGTCGCTGCCGTAGAACTGTCTCGTGTTCTTCGTTGCGTTACTCAGCAGCGCCGCCATCTGCTGGACGTCACCGGAATCCATCAGAGACGCGTTACGCGCCAAACGCTCCGACTGCAGACATGAAAACACACATGAGGATGCGCGGATCACGCTGTATCGCGAGAGGTTTGCGTGAGATTCTCACCAGTGTCTTGAGTTTACTGAAGCTCACAGACGTGCAATTGAAGAGGTTCGGAGACAGCCAGCCCTTGTGCTCGTCGCAGTGACGGATCGCAGTTCCTGCGCACAAATAGAATGCAATTAAAATATTAAGTAAATGTAAAACTAGATTAAATCAAATTTAAAAAAATGAAATTTGAAGTTCCTGCTCACAAACATAACACTATTAAAATAGTACGTAAAAATAGTTGACTAACTAAATAACATAAAAAACAAATACCTTTCTGGTGATAGCTTTAGTAGTTTTGTAGTTTATAGGTTTATTGTTTTTGTTTAGATCTACAAATTTTTTACTTCATTTTCAAGAGTTTTCTAGCAGATTTTGCTCAAATTAAACGCAGAAGTCTCGCTGGATTTACTTATCCAATAATAATTAAAAAAACAAAAAAGGTTATAAGATATCATTTATGAATATGAAATGAATAATGATAATGATTTGCAGTTCCGGCACACAGATATGAAGCCATTGAAACAGCTTTTTAATGCAAATTAAATGAAAAACAAAACAAAATAACAATACTTCTTTTGTAGCTAGCATTAGCAGTTTTGGAATTTGATTGTTTCATGTAAATCTGGTGTGAAAGTCAACAAATATTCCACTCATTTTTCTTGATTTTTAAGTGGATTTAAAAGTTTTCTAGCTAAAGTGAAACACAAAAATCAAACTGAATTTGCTTAACTAATAATAATTAAATTAATAAAAAGGTTATAAATGCAGTTCCTGCAAACATATACAATGCCACTACAATATTTCTAACACAAAGTTTACTTCAAAGTTTGAATAAAACTAAAATAAATAAATAAAAATGAGTACAGTACTGTTTTGTACTTTTAATGTTTCATGTAGATCTAGTGTAAAGCTTCAAATAAAATCCACAAATATTGAAGTAAATATATAAGAAATACTGATATTTCTCGATTTTCAAGTGGATTATTTAATATACTTACATAATCCACCATTAAACACAGTTTTAACACTAATATCTGATAGATTAAATCACGTACGAAGATGTAAAATGGTAATTTGTGACCCTGCAGCACAAAAGCAGTGTTAAGTCGCTGGGGTATATTTGACACACACACACACACACACACACACACGTGTTACTGAGGGATTGTGGGACACACATGACAGCCTGATGAGCGTGTGTCTGAGAGTCTGACCTTCACAGCCGCTGGAAGAGACCTCAGCGAAGGGGATATCGCAGCAGTCACACTGTCGCCCGATGACACCCGGCTTACACGGACACTGACCGCTGTCCGGGTCGCAGGAGCGCGAGAACGAGCCCACGGCGTAGCAGTCGCACAGCAGACACGCCGCGCTCGCCGCAGGCCGGAAGTGATTGTCCTGACCAGAGAATCACACCAAAATTGACCCTTATGACTGGTTTTGTGCTCCATATGTAATTGTAAGTACATCTATCTTCTTACCATGGCAAAGTCAGCACATTGTAATCTGATAAAATGATAATTCTTAATGTAATAATAATGTTAAAATAACATTGTGAGTGTGAAATGTTTGTTTGGTACCCATGGATCCTTTCGGACACGAGACGGCCGCTGGTAAACCGAACTTGGTCCGCGGCCACCAGATTCCTGCTTCGATGGCCTGCGGACAGCTGTCGTAGATCACTGAACACACACACACACACACACACACACACACACACACGTGTTACTGAGGGATTGTGGGACACACATGACAGCCTGATGAGCGTGTGTCTGAGAGTCTGACCTTCACAGCCGCTGGAAGAGACCTCAGCGAAGGGGTTATCGCAGCAGTCACACTGTCGCCCGATGACACCCGGCTTACACGGACACTGACCGCTGTCCGGGTCGCAGGAGCGCGAGAACGAGCCCACGGCGTAGCAGTCGCACAGCAGACACGCCGCGCTCGCCGCAGGCCGGAAGTGATTGTCCTGGCCACACAAACAATATCAACATCCAACTGCAGTCTGCTGCGATTTGTGTAACCTGATGACAATTCTCTCTGCTTTTTGGGGGACTGGATGACTTTTGGACTTGCTAGCATTACACAGTAGCTAGCAATAAAATATAAATATATAAAATGATATAATTAAAAAATATATATTATAAAATATTCTAAACAAAATAAAAATAACAGAACAGAACAAATAATAATAACCTATTATACAATATTAAAATTAAAAAGTAAAAAAATTCCATCAATTAAAAAAAAATTTAATATTTTTTTACAACTTAAACCATATCAAAATGAAATAATGTTACAATTTAA